AGGGCCTCTCTCCACCCCTCGGGGTTCGGGGGGCGCCGTTGCCGGGGCGCCGTAGGGGGGGCTCCGCAGTCGGCGGCCGCCCGTGGCCAGTTCGGCCCGCCGTCCGAAGGGTCGGGGCTGTCGGGGGGGCACCGCCGCGGCTCCTAGGCGCCGCGCATGTCGTCCGCGGTGGCGACCGGGGGCGGCGGCCTGGGTCTAAGGCAGCCCGCGGCGGCCGCCGAGGAGCGAGCGTCCCGCCGCCGGAACTGCTCGCGCCACCGAGCAGAAGAGGCCTTGGCGTCCAGGGCGTCCTCGGCAGCGATGGCCCCAGAGAGACCCTCGGCCGCGTCACCTATGCAGGGGGGGGGGGCCGGCCGGGCAGAAGGCCGTCGAGGCGAGCAGCGGCCCAGAGCCTTAGGAGGTGGGCTGGGGGAGGGGCAAGGTGGCCTCCGCGCCTGGTCTCGTGGACCACGCTCCGGTGCAGCCGCGCCATGCGCCGCCGCCGGGCCGAGGCGGTCGGCCAGCGAGTGGCCGATAGGGCGGTCGGGCCCGAAGAGAGTCCGAGAGGGCCCTAAGAGGGCCCCGAGAGAGTCCCACAAGGCACCGAAAATGGAGGGCGCGCCCCGCTGCGGCGAGCGCCTCACCCCAGCAGAAGAGGCGTCGTGGCGCGCCGGTCGTGCGACCCGTCCTTTTCATTTTTCTGACAAGACGCCAGTGCAAGCTGCGTTGTCGACGGTTGCCGTGGATGTATAGGCCGAGGAGGAAGTGGGTGTTCGACATGTGGCCGTGTGGGAGGGGGGCGCGCGCGTTTGCTGGCCTCGGGTGTTTGAGGGCTACTCGGGCTTCTATCAATTGCGCGGCTTTTAAGGCTCAGGTTTCAGCTTGCGTTCCAGCGCGCTTGCAGACCAGGCCTTGCGATGAGTGCTTCTGTCGCGGCCCCGATCGCGATCCCGCCTTGCCGGCCCCTTCGGTGGCGCATGCAGGGGGGTATTGGCCCAGCAGGGGAAGCGTCGACTCTAATTCGCCCGATGTTTTCCTCCATGGCCTCCCTCGCGCGAGCTCAGCACTATCCCGCCGAGGGTCGATCCTGCGCGAGGCGACGGAAATGCTGGTGGAGCTCCGCAGGGCGCCGCTGCAGAGCTGCTTCCGCGGCCTCGGCCAGGTCTGGGCGAGCTCTGCCGGGAAGCAGAGCCGCTGCGAGTGCGCGCAGAAGCGAGACCGCCTCGATTGCCTTGTCTCCCGCGACTGGGGCGCCCGCCCATGTGTGAATTCAGTGGCAAATTCTGAGAGCTTTATATGCCGTCTTAATTCCGTCTCTCTCGTCGATTGACACTTTCGCGCCCAGAACCAACCCTGCCGCCGACCTGGTCCGACCCCCGCGCCGTCTTGGGAGCTCTGTTCTTAAGACCGCCCGCCCGACAATTTCTTGCCTGGAACCTACGCTGCCGCCCATTTGGTCTCATCCATCACCGTCCTGGGAGCCCTGCTCTTGTGGCCGCCCACCCCGTAATTTCTCGCCTGGAACCGACCCTGCCGCCCACCTGGTCAGACCCCCGCGCCGCCCTGGGAGCTCTTCATGGGATCTCCCGCCTGACAACCCATAACCCAGAAGCGATCATGATGCCCACCTGGTCCGGCCCGTGCAAATTCCTAGAAGCTTTGTTCTTGGGACCTTCCACCAGATCGACGCTAACCGACGCCAGTCGACGCTGAATCGACGCTATCCCACTGACTATCAGAAGCTACTCGACCTGGTGGGGGCCCATGAATAGATCTCTTTTGGACGGTGCGCGGGTCGAACCAGATGGACGGCAGGGTCGAATCTTGGGTCGGATATATTCGGGTCGGCGGTCTCAATAACCGGGTTTGAGGACGTGGGGGGCGGGCCAGGAGGGCGGTGGGGTCGGTTCAGGGCCAGGAATTCTCAGATGGGGTGCCTCGCGACCACAGTTCCCAGGGCGGTGCGGGGGTCGGACCAGGTGGGCGGCAGGGTCGGTTCCCGGGCCTGAAATTGTCGGGTGGGCGGTCCCAAGAACAGAGCTCCAAGGGCGGTGCGGGGGTCGGATCACGTGAGCGGCAGGGTCGGTTCCTGGGCAAAATTATTGGGCGGTGGGTTGCAAAAACGAAGCTGCCAGGGCTGTGCGGGGTCAGAACCAGGTGGGCGGCAGGGTCGGTTCGTGGGCTGGAAATTGTCGGGGTGGGGTTTCAAAACCAGAGGTCCCATGGCGGCGCGGGGGTCGGACGAGGCGCCGCAGGGTCGGTTGAAGGCCAGGAGATGTCGAGTGGGGGGTTTTGACGACCGCAATTCCCAGGGCGGTGCGGGGGTCGGACCAAGTGGGCGGCAGCTTCTTGGGCCAGAAGCTGCCAGGTGGGCGGAAGAACGAAGCTCCCCGGAGGGCGCGGGGGTCGGGCCAGGTGGGCGGCAGGGTAGGTTCTTGGGGAGAAAATATCGGGTGGTGGGTCGCAAAAGCGAAGCTTTCAGGACTGTGCGGGGTCGGGCCAGGTGGGCGGCAGGTTCGGTTCCTGGGTGGGAATTGCCAGGGTGGGGGGCCTCAAGTGTAGAGTTTCCATGGCGGTGCGGGGGTCGGGCCAGGAGGGCGGCTTGGTCGGTTTATGGGTCAGAATTTTTCGGGTGGGTGGTCCCCAAGACAATGCTGCCAGGGCGGCGTGGGGGTCGGGCTAGGTGGGCGGTAGGGTCGGTTCCTGGGCAAGAATTGTCAGGTGGTGGGTCGCAAGGGCGAAGCAGGGGTCGGACCGCATGGGCGGCAGGATTAGTTCAGGGCGAGAATTTCTCGGGTTGGAGGTCTCAAGAACAAAGCTCCCAGGAGGGTGCGGGGTCGGACCAAGTGGGCGGCGCAGTAGGTTCCGGGCAAGAAATTGTCGGATGGGGGGCCCCAGGAGCAGAGCTCATAGGACACCGCGGAGGTTGGACCATTTGAGCGGAACGGTCGGTTCTGGGCCAGGAAATGTCGGATGGGGGACGCCAGAAACAGAGTTCCCAGGACGGTGCGGGGGTCGGACGCGGCATGGTAGGTTGTGGGTCAGAATTGTTACACGGGGAGTCCCGAGAACAGGTCCAGGAGGGTGCGGGGGTCGGGCCAGCTTGGCGGCGGGGTCGGTTTCTTGGCCAGAAATTGTCGGGCGGTGGGTCGCAAAAGCTCGGCTCCGGGCGAGACATTATCGGGCGGGCGCTCTTGAGAACAGAGCTCCCAGGACGGTGCGGGAGTCGGACCAACTGGACGGCGGGTCGGACCAGGTGGGCGGTAGGGTCGTTTCAGGGCCAGGAATTGTCAGATGGGGGGCCTCGCGACCACAGTTCCCAGGACGGTGCGGGGGTCGGACCAAGTGGGCGGCATGGTAGGTCGTGGGCCAGAAGTGTCGAGCGGGGGGTCCCGACAACAGAGCTCCCAGGAGGGTGCAGGGGTCGTGCCAGGTGGGCGGCAGGGCCGGTCACGGGCGAGACCTGGGTGGGCAGCTTTACGAACAAAGCCCCAGGACGGTGCGGGGGTCGGACCAGAGGTGGAAAGGTGAGGGTTGTTTGATCTCAAGCGTTTCAGGGGTCGGCAGATCATCGCAAGCAGTTTTGCTGGGGATTTGAGTTCAGGGTCAGTTGGGATCCAGGTGCTCGTCTATGCGTAAACCCGTGCGACGTAAACACATTGCACGACTCGGTGATACGCGGCATTTTTAACCAGTTCGTCGCGTGTCAGAAAGCCTTACTCACGTCTACGCCCAAATCGTCGCCGCCTTCCGCTTGCACAAATTGTTTTTTGGTCTGATGGAGTCCTGCCTTCGTTGCACTGCCCACTTGTTTCGAACTTATATGTTACCCAATCGCCTTGCTTTTATTTCATCCGTTTCCACATCCGTCCAATCAGCCGAAACTCGGTTTGATATTCTATGGGTCGGACTAGTTGAGCGACTGCGAAATTGTAGTGTAGCATGCGGCAGTTAGGTAGCAATGTCAGTTGCATAGTGTTCACGCACTAATTGATCAGTGTTGTTTGGCACCGTGTTAACTTGCCTCCAGGGAAAAAGCTCTCCTACCATACTTTCAGGATGATGATGATAACGGTGATCATGATTATGACGATGTTAACGATGATGATTGTGATGATCGTGGTGATAATGCAAATCATGGATATGGTGGTGATGATGATGAGGAAGAGGAGGAGGAGGAGGAGGAGGCGGAGGAGGAGGAGGAGGAGGAGGAGGAGGAGGAGGAGGGGGGGAAAAGGAGGAGGAGGCGGAAGAGGATGATGATGAGGAAGACGACTACGGTAATTCATGGGAGGGACAAGTGGAAGGAGGACGAGGGAGAACATGAGGATTACCGATCAACAGAAAGAGGGAGGAGGAGTTGATGCTGCTTCCGTCCACCGGTTCGCACGCAAACTGCCTGACCCAGCTTGGCGCCGCGAGGAGGGAAACATGCGAGCCCTCACCGCCGCCGCCGCCGCCTTGCGCGGCGACTCCCTCTTACTGTCGTCGCCGCCGCTTCCGCCGTTCGTCGTCGTCGTCGCCGCCATGTCCGTCGCCGCCACCGTCGTCGCTTTCGTCGCCGCCGTCGTCTCCGTCGTCGTGTTTGTCGGGGTGCGGGGTTCGAGTATTATGGTTTTTGGACGCTTTTGGTCACTCGTGGGCTTTTGGAAGCCTCCAGGCGTCTCCGGCGGTTTCCAGAAACCTCTTGAAACTTCGTCGTCGTCGTCGCTGCTGTCGTCGTCGTCGCTGTCGTCGTCGTCGCTGTCGTCGTCGTCGCCACCGTTGTCGTCGTCTTCGTCTTCATCTTCGTCGTCGTCGTCGACGACGTCGACGTCGTCGTCTCCCTGCCCCGCGCTTCGTGATCTCATCTGTCGGCCAAGTGGGTGCAGCAGGCGGCGCGTTTCGGAGTTTCGAATCCTTGTGCGCCGCGCCAGTGGGATGCTGTGAGTTCACGAAGGACCTCCGTCAATTTCTCCTTCATCTTCTCTCCGTCATCATATCGGGGTCAATTCCGTGATATTATCGCGCGTCTTCCTCACCTCTCTTTCATTCCATATTGATGTTCTATGAGTCCGTCCTGGCAAAGCTGAACCTTGAGCTTTGAATCAGTCCATCAAAGTGGAAGGGACGCGCCTTGATGACGAGCGACCCAGTGGCATCTCACGTAAGTTTACGAAGGATGTTGTGCGTGCGCGAAGTAACTCCGTCAGGTCCTCCTTCTCACCCTTCTCATTTCTCCCCTCTCTCCCTCGCCGCCCTCTCCCCCGGGAATATGGTCACCCAGCCCTGCGTCCCGAACGGTAGCATTTTTTTGCGCCAGTCGTGGCGCCCAGTCGTTGCGGCCCGTTTTCGGCTGAGTGCTCACTCACCCGTGCTCGGAGCAAAACGTTCAAGCTGCCCAACCCGATCCATCATCACAGCCATGCGGGCTGCCCTGCTCTGCCTCGCCCTGCTCCTGGTGCCGGGGCTCGCAGCGCGCAACAAGTACGAGGACATACTGGCGGCCCTCGACGGCCCAGAGGGCAGCTCCGAGGGAGGTGGCGCGTCCCTTGCGGAGGCGGCGCGCGGGGCCGAGGACGGGGACAAGGACGAGGACAACGCGACAGAGGTCCGCTCGGTGCCGGACGCGCGGCTGCCTGATCTTGGCGGGGACTTCTCCTCGGCGCTGGAGGAGGGCTCCGGGGGCGCGCAGAACCGCAGCAGGAAGGGCTGGGGCGAGGAGGACGTGGAGTGCTTCTGCATCGACTACTACGAGTACGTCGACTGGGACGACTACAGCCGGTACTCCGATCCGGAGGACTGCATGCAGGGCAGCAGCCGGTGCAACGAGAAGTGCGAGCGCGAGAGCAAGCACATCGTCCGCTTCGAGGGGATGCGGCAGACCCTCTCTTTCTGCGGGACGGACGAGGGCTGGCTGAGCCAGCGGCCAGAGTGCCAGTGCCTCGACGGGGCGGACACCTTCAAGCACTCGAACAAGAAGAAGGCCCAGAAGAAGTATGGGAACCCGAACATCCTCACGCAGTTCGCCGGCGGCGCCGCGCACGCGTTCGAGGGCTACGGGAGCAGCGCCGCCAACCTCCGCGCGTGCTACCAGAACTGCCCCAGCCTCTGCGCCTCGAAGAAGAAGCTCACGGGCGGGTGCGCCATGCCGACCAGCGCGTGAGCCCCCCGCAGCCCACCGACGCGTGGGCCCCTCGCAGCCCACCGCGCCCGTCTCTCGTGTCTGGTCCCTCCTCTCCCTCGTGTCTGGCTGCCTCCTGCCCCGCTCCCCCCTCCCCGCCCCCCTCCTGGCCTCTCCGCCCATCTCCCGTTCCCTTTCCCTCTGCTCCCAGGTGCCCGCAGGCCCGCGCGTCCATGCGGCGCAGCTGTGCTGGACTCGGGAGCAGCTGGGCCAGGCTGTCGGGAAAAGATCCGAAAGAAGGCACTCGTGGCACACTTGAAGGGGGGGCCCAGCTTGAAGCTACCCCTCCTCCTCCCTTGGAAAAGGGGGAACGGGGGGGCCTCCGAAGCTCCCCCCTCCTCCTTTCCTTATGTGGGCATCCTAGCTACAGGGGGGGCTTCCAAGATACCCCCTCCCTTCTGTTCCAGAGCCCAAGGTCAGCTCCGGCTCCCCTTTCAAAGGGGGTGGGGCTTCCGAAGCTACCCCCCTCCTCCTCCTCCTCCTCCTCCTCCTCCTCCTCCTCCTCCTCCTCCTCCTCCTCCTCCTCCTCCCCCTCCTCCTTTCGTTTGGATTTTTGGCTGGGGGGTCCCTGGTTAGGGCCCTCCTGGGCCGTCTTTGAGCCCTCTTGGGGGCTTTTTGGTTTGTTCTGGGGCGATTCTGGAAGCTGCTTGGGCCGTCATGGATTTGTGAAAGTCGAGAAAAAAACGAGAACGCTAAAATATTGTAAAACCATCGGAAATCAATGATTTCGGCCTCTGGAGGCGCAGTTGTGGGCGCTCTTGGGGCCCTCTTGGGCCGTCCTTGGAGCTTTTGGGGCCGTCTTGGGGGCCTCATGGGCCCCCGTTGGGAATATCTTGGGCCGTCTTGGGGCCGTCTTAGGCCGTCTTGGGGCCATCTTGGGCCATTTTGAGGCCCTCTTGGAGCCCCAAGAGGCCCAAGAGGTCGAATTTGTTGATTTTTCATAGGTTTCTGTAGGTTTTTATGGCCCCTGAAAGGGGGGGGGGGGCATCGTGGTCCGTTCATGTGGCGCGACTGCAGGGGGGGGGTAGGGGGGAGACATGATAATGTAACACAATACAGTATCTGGGAATTATGCAAACGTAGGACACATCGGATCCACTGCATTACAGCATCCGGGCGCCTCTTAGATGCTCGGCGCCCATTTGATTCTGTGGCTTACGCCACACCACCGACCCCTTGGGGAATTGGTGATTGTTGTGTGTTGCTCCTGAGGGCCTCTTGTGCGCCGTTTGGGGGCTTGTTGGAGCTCTTTTGGGGCTTCATGGGGGCCTTTTCGTGGCCTCTTGGGCGGACACTGTCAGTATTCGCCGTGCGCGCATGGGGAATAGGGTGGGAACCCGCGTCAACAGACGGAGGACATCTGTCAAAGCACAGAACGACTGGTTCTCGAACGGCCTTCGGCACACCCTGCCACCGTGCTTGGGTTACGGGTCTGAGGCTACTCGGGCTGCTGATGGTGTCTCATGAGAGGCGTCTCGGAGGCGTCTTGGAGACAGTTTTTCCCACCCCCCTTGCGTTGGGCATTCGTTTTGAATAGAACGCTGCCGCGCGTCTTCCCCTTCTCCCGCCCACCTCCTCTCTTTTTCTCTCCTGCCTCTCACCTCGCTCCTTCCTGACACCCCTGGGGGGCTGCGATCTGCGAAACTGTAGCCACTTTCGAGGGCTGCTGGGGGTCCAGCGGAGTGACGTCTTACCCAGACCACCAGGAAACGTCGCCATCCCTGTGGGGCTGCGATCTGCGAAGCTGTTGCCAATTTCGATGGCTGCTGGGGAGTCCAGCGGAGTGACGTCTTACCCAGACCACCATGAAACCTCGCCATCCCTGTGGGGTTGCGATCTGCGAAGCTGTTGCCACTTTCGAGGGCTGCTGGGCGGTCCAGCGAAGTGATGTCTTACGCGGACCACCAGGAGACCTTGCAATTCTTGTGGGGTTGCGATCTGCCAAGATGTCGCCGCTTTCGAGGGCTGCTGGGGGGTGCAGCGGAGTGACGTCTTACGCCTGAAATGGACATCGCCATCCCTGGGGCGGGGGGGGGCTGCGATCTGCGAAACTGTAGCCCCTTTCGAGGGCTGCTGGGGCGTCCAACGGAGTGACGTCTTACCCAGACCACTCGGAAACCTTTCCATCCCTGTGGGGCTGCGATCTGCGAAACTGCAGCCACATTCGAGGGCTGCTAAGGGGTCCAGCGGAGTGACGTCTTACCCAGACCACCAGGCGACCTCGCCATCCCTGTGGGGGTTGCGATCTGCGAAGCTGTCGCCAGTTTCGAGGGCTGCTGGTGGGTCCAGCGGAGTGACACTTACCCAGACCACCAGGAGACAGCGATCTGCGAAATTGTCGCCGCTTTCGAGGGCTGCTGGGGGTTCAGCGAAGTGACGTCTAACCTGGACCACCAGGAGGCCTTGCCATCCCTGTGGGGCTGCGATCTGCGAAGTTGTCGCCATTTTCGAGGGCTGGTGGGGGGTCAGCGGAGTGACGTCTTACCCAGACCACCAGTAGACCTTGTCATCCCTGTGGGGCTGCGGTCTGCGAAGTTGTCGGCACTTTCGAGGGCTGCTGGTGGGCCCGGCGGAGTGAAGTCTTACTCAGATTCAGATGGGCCTCGCCATTTTGAGGGGTCGAATGCGGAGGAGGAGGATGATGAGGAGGAGGAGGCGGAAGAGGAGGAAGGGGAAGAGGAGGAGGAGGAGGAGGAGGAGGAGGAGGAGGAGGAGGAGGAGGAGGAGGAGGAACGGGGGGATGAGGTCGGGCACGTGCTGCCGCGGCGGCGCTATACAAACATATTTATAATTTGTTCGAGCGCCGCGGCGACATGGGGCAGGCAGCACTGCATCTTTAGCGTACCACCGACAAAAGCAACACTCTTCGGTCTCCTCCCGTCACTATCGTCGTGGTCCTCTGCCCCCTGCCACCTTTATTCTGCTGCTGCCGCGCTGACGGTTCAGCCCCCTACGCGTCCTTCTCCTGCCCTTCGTTCCCGTTCCCATGTCCTCTTCGAGACGGGACATTCGCTCCTTGTCCTTCTGTTGTTGTTTTGTCAATTGTACCGCGTGAGCGCATCCCACGTCGCTTGCACAACCCATAACGGCGCCTGCGCTGTCATTGTCTTGGCAAGTTTGGGCCACGCGTGGGGAAGCGGGCGAGAACCCACGTGTACAGACGGAGGGCATCTGTCAAAACACCCGACGAATGATTATCGAATGGCCTTCGGCACGCCCCGCCACCGTGCCTGGGTTGCGGGTGGCCGCGGATGGCTGATGGGGTCTCGTGGGAGGCGTCTTGGATGCAGTTTTTGATTTTTTTGCAGGCCTCCTGGGGGCCTCTTGGGGGCTCGTTGCGGCCATCTTGGGGCTCCCTGGGGGCCTGTTGGTGGCTCTTTGGGGCATCCTGGAGGCGTCTTGGGGTGGATGACTCGAAATTCTGTTCGGGTTCCCCTTCTGGGCCCAGAGTTGGGGCTGTCTTGGGGCTCTCCTGGAAGCGGACGACGCCAGGAGCTAGTGATCGACCCGGGCTTCGATCCCATCGCCGGCCTGGCCTCCTGGGTCCCCGCGCCAACCACCCTTTCCCACACGGGCGACGATGCGATAAAGAGGATCGACAGCAGTATCGACAAAACTCGGTCCTCCATGGAAAAGAACTTTGCAGATCATATTGCCGCACCGCTAGATCCTTCCTTTCGCTGGGGCGCCCTGGGTGATTCCATACAGAAAAGTCTACAGTGGCTGATCGAGGACCCCGCTCTGGGAGTAGTCCTGTGTACAGTTTCGGGTCTTCACCTTCACCAGTTTTCCATTGCCGACGCCCCGCGTGAGCCAGGCATGTTCGACCGTAAGGCCTGGAGCCACCTGGGGTTCTGCCACGACGTGGACCTCGGGGTCGATGCTAGCAATCTCGTTTACAACATGACGTGGGCAGCGCTGGTTTGGGCCCTCGGCCTCGGCACGCCCTGGAGAGAGAAAAGCTTGGCCGTAGCTGCAGAGTCCCTTCCCCCCATGCTCAAGGTGCAGGGGCGCGGCCACATACCTAAGGACACTAAGCGTTGCATTCCTTCAGAAATTCTGCATCAGTTCCCAAAGGCCTGGAGTGCGACCGCGGGAGAATGCAGGAGGCACCGCGAGCACCCTGGCATGGAGAAGCTGGCGCACTTACTACGAACAGCCACAGGCGGCTCCATGCTGCGACAAGGACTCCTGAGCAGCGAAGGGCTCCCAATGGACACCCCATCCTATCGGGTGCTCCTGGTGGTGATGATGATCCAGATCCGCGAGCCCCGCGCCACACTTTGGCCTTTCCCGTGCCCTGAGTCCACGGGGGACATAGTGGAAGCCGTCATGGGCATCTGCGTCCCCTGGCAGAATGTCCACCTGGAGTACAGAGCCGCCTTTGCCGCTGCATGGGGTCTGACACTCAGCGCCCTGACCGCGCTGCACGGTGAGTTCGAGGACGCCATCTTGCACATCAGCAGGCTCGCCGCGTACGCGCGCCACCACCCAGTCGCCCAAGCGCGCGGGTGCCCGCGCACATGGGCGGAGATGCAAGACAGCAAGTTCATCCTGGAGGCGCCGAGCAGGGTCCTGGAAGTGCTAATCAAGCCAGCCAAGAGTGATCCCCTAGGAGAATACTGTTGCCACAGGACAGGAAATCATCATTGCTCCCATCCCTGGCACACCTCCCTCTCGGGTACGGGCTCGCACCGATGGCGGCGACGCCCAGGACGCTGCGCGACCTAGTCATGGTGGCCACCAGTGTCTTCTGGCCACAGGGCGCCAATTTGACCCTCCCAACGCGCAAGCCAGCGGACGGAAGACTAGGTTTCGACGCCCACTCGTCCAGGATCTACGCAGCCAGAGGTGACACTTGCCCGCCAGGTGCGCCCCTGCTAGTCTGGAAAACCGACCAGCCCGCCCTGGGCTGCTTTCTCTGGAGGCCAGACGCAGACGTACCCGTCAGCAGCGACGCAGGCCCCCCCCCCCCCCCTGGGTGGACATGCCAGCATTCTGGATTTCAAAGGAACTTGAATGCCAGTTGGTCCTGCAGGAGGTGCCTGGCACACATCTGGAACGTCGCCCCTGGCACGCTCGACCACATTCTCGACGAGCAGTCAGCTGACGTCTACCCTAGGGTGCCACCTAGACGCGATGCCCCTGCAGGCATGGAAGTCGACGCGCCGGACATTGGAGTTCACTTCCATCCTGGCACCGCCAACGCAGCTGCAGTGGGCGCCTACTCCAAGCCGAGAGACTGCGCAAGCGGATATCACTCCA